CTGGGCACAGGCTTTTCCCATCCTCCTGCCACTCAGGAGCAGCAGCTGAACATGCCGTGACACAGCCTGAGGTGGAAAAGGTTATTTTTACTGTGGTTTTGCGAAGCCACTCACAACTGATGCCATAGGAAAGGGGTTGCTTGTTTGATTGTTTTTCCTCCTTTCACATTCCTGGAAAGAGGGGCCAGCGCGAGGCAGGCGCTGTGGTGCAGGACCATGAGTCAGGAGGGCTGGGCTCACCGCCTGCCTCTCCCTGGGGCTCTCGGGGTAGCCGGGCCAAGTCACAGCCCTGTGAGATGCTTGGCTTACAGCTGAACCACACGGCCAAAACTGCTAACCTTGTCCTGGGTTTTCCCTCAGCCTTGTCCCGCGTTGCCTGCCCAGCACCAACGGTGCTCAGCGCTGGCTTGGATTGCTGCTGCCTTGTGGCCTCATGCACCACAGGCTGAGGGATTCCAGCCTTCACTAGAGGCAAGGCTCCCCTTCAGCATGGGCTGGGGTGGCAGGGATTTTAGCTCCTTCTCTTCCCCAGGCCACAGCAGCTCTCACCAGTGGGATTGCCTCTCTCACTATGGGGTTGGGCCTCCCACCAGAGGCTCTGGGACACGTCATGCCCAGTCTTAACAGCTTGTGCTGCTCCACTTGGTGCGTGTGTATGGAATACATGTGCAGTGGGCCTGAGTGAGTAACGCCATAGCTCACTGGGCTTGTCGTTCCCTGGGAGAGGAGCCCTGGATTTGCTCTGAACAGGTAGAAAGACTGACAGCTCTCTGTTAAGGTGCTGGCTGGAAAGGGGAACGTGTCAGTTCCTGAGACTGGGCCTGCATTTGCGCCAAAACCTGATATAAACCAGCAGCTCCAGGACTTAGGCTGCAGCAGTGAAGGCCCTTAGGAGCCTGCATTCATCACTAAGCATCAGTGAGTGCTGGGTGTCTCCTGCTCAGACCCCAGGAGTGCTGCAGATCAGCAGAATTTCTGCCAGCTATCTGCTCTGACAGGAAAGCAACTGGCCACTTTACGTTCATCAGCATAACAGCCATGAAACGGGCTTTCAGATCACTGCTTGGCAGTAAATGCAGCGAATCCTTATGGTCTATATAGTTCTCAGCTGCTCGATGCTGTTCAGCTGCAGGCAGTGTGTACAAGTCCAGTGAGTGATGCTCAAGGCAAGTACAGCGTTGAGCTCCACACAAGGAAAGTGGCAGGTGCCAAAATGCAAGTCCAAAACTGGTGGAAGGCCATGCAAACCCATATTTTTATGCCAGAGTGCTTAGTCAAGAAGGGGGAGAGCTAGATATCACTCCCTTTCACGTCACAGAGACCAAAACCCATATCCCCTCTGCCTCCTAACGGCCTTCACCGCCAGGCATAAGACATTCTGCAGGAAGGTGCTTCCAGCCAAAATGTTGAAGTGCTTCTACTTCAGACAGAAAAGTGAAGCATTTTTTGGCCCCAAGAAAAAGCCTCTCTACTGACCAAACATCACTGCACCCTTTGGAAAGAGGACTGGGTTCTCTTAGCCCTGCTCCAATTTCATAGACAAGAGCAAAGCACACACTAGAGAACAAATGGGATCCAGATCTCCGCTCCCTGATGCGAGTGCTTTTATCATTAGATTGTAAGGTCCAAGTCAGTCTTTCCTTCCCATCTGATCTTGTCCCCGGAGCATGCAGATTAAGAGGCTCAAGCGGTCTTAACGCCCATGTTTCCTGAAGGCCAGTGTCCTGCATCCCCTCCCCGGGTTCACACCTGCTGGCGTACATGCCATTACAGACAGGGGAGGCTGTTGCTGCTTCTAATTAGATTTCTCTTAGTAGCACAAGCTGCTCAAATCCCAGGACAGAAGCTTATGGTTCAGATTCCTGGCACTCCGCTACATCAAATGAGGTTTTATGTGCAGGATCATACGTCGCACCTTGGCAGAGATTCATTCGTACGATCCAAACCTTCCAAATGCTGGGTGGGGATTGGAATGGAGGGGCTGCTGCCCAAGAGTCCTCCGGTTTCTTTCTCTCTCCGGACTAGAATCTTCTTCCCTGTCCTCACTCTGATGAACTGTGTCCTGCAATCACACAGCTCCCCCAGATATTATTTTCTGAGAAATTGTGAGTTCCTGGTGGGAGCAGTCGCTTAGGCAGAAGAACCACCTTGACTGAATGCACCAAAGGCAATTGGAAGTTCTATCATTATTTCAAAGTTGCATTAGAAAAGGCCTAATTTTCATTTAATTAGGGACGTGTCCCCACCTGCTGTGAAATATTATTACGGTGCTTACTTTCATCGTCACCATTTCTTTTGCTTTTTCTTCTTTCGAAGAGCTAAGCAAGTTGAGCTTGGGGAAGACTCAGTTACTTTGAGGTGTGTTGGCAATATTTACTTCAGGATCAGCTTCTTGTCTGATAAGCTGCAAGGGGCCTGGCACATGTCATTTTACTGTAAGACCGCTATTTTGTGTAAGACACACATGCACGCATTCCCCTTTTTCACAAGCCCTCCTTACCACTTACCCCTGCGGCCTGCTGGCTGCTCGCACTGGAAAAGGCTGCCGTTGCAGGGATGGGGCCCACGGCTCTGTTCCTTGTTGGCCTGCCACATTTCTGCCTATGCAAACACCGGGGTTGTGGGGGTGACCTCACTCCTCGTTATTACAGCCAGGTTTGGATGTCTTCAGCTGCTCTTCTGCGTCCAGACTGCGCAGACAAGAGCGGCTCACGGCGCTGACCACCCTCTTTATTTCCACAGATGCGCAGGGCACCTCTGCATGGGTTACGCTCACGTTGTCACGGGCAGGCATTCCCCAGCGATACACCATTAGACACTTTTTCCAGGCGCGGGCTGGAAGCCCGATGTTCTCATGTGACTCCAGAAGCTGAGGCAATGGACACGTGTCTCTGTGTTAACCCAGCCCTGGAGACAGCCCCACCCCAGGAGCTCAGAGCACAGCCAAGCACCCTTTGGTTTCAGGCTCCAAATCTCAGAGGATCGGACTTAAATGATGAGCTCTGAGGACTGCGATTCTGGAGACGGTCCTTTATCGACCCACACGCTACCACTGGCAGTGAGCACTGCCCACGGGGCTGGGGGTGAAGATCGCAGCCAGGCTAAGCTGGACTGCAGCCTGGGTTGCCAGGCCCCCTGCCAGCCAGGGCTGCAGATGTGATGCTTGCAGAGTGCATTAGCTCTGAAGAAAGTGCTCATCTCTCTCTCTCTCTCTCTCTCCATCTGCTGAAACTGGTTGGCAAAGGAGAGAAAGAATTTAGCACTGCGCGGAGTCTGGCTATCCAGAAAGGCAAGAGGAAAAAAACAGAGATAGATATAAAGGGTGATCAGTAATCATGCCTTTAATAGCTTGTAAATATTTTTTTTAATTCCAGGCAACTAAGATGTACATTTGTTGTGTATATCTGACATCTGAAAAAAACGAGTCCACAATCTGTTCCTTTCTAAAGCACATAAATTAAAGTATCAGTCACCCCAATATACAACAGTTTTATGAAGAAAAAAGTCTTGTTCTGTTTTTACAATTCAGTGTCACCTTTTTATCTGAAGCATTAGCTAGAGTTTTAGCTAGATAACTGTCTGACAACAAATAGGAAAACTCAGAACTTAGGCTGTCCAGAAAAAGTCAAGAAATTTCCACTCCCTGCTCTCAAACTCCACTTCCTAATAAAGCATCAGAGTAACATTTTCATTTCCCACTAGAAAACGAAAGACCCCAAAACCTCTTCAAACACACCTGGGAAACACTGTTTGGACCACAGAGCTTATTAAACTTAAAAAATTAACAGTGCAACGATTTCCCCTTCTACAACTTCAACACAGAACCCGAATTCACATCGGGATGAACAAGGATAGACAACGCCAGACTGCAAGTAGCCGCTGGTGCCTGGAGCTGCTAAACAGCATCCCACACTTGATTTCGGCATCCAATAAATGCTCTCAGCTTTGAGAGCACCTGCAGACTCGGGGAACCCAGGCCACTCAGCAGTTCAGAACGACGCCAT